GTCAGTCAACAAACATGCAGAAATAAACAGACATCGATTAGACCAATGCAGAATGCAGAGGAATCCGCCAACTGGCGTCCCGCCTCAGGCCATCGTCCGAGTGAAACCTGAATGGGAATTTATCAGTGGGGCACGAATTTGATAGTGACATGGAAGAGATCATGCGAGGATGTGAAGACAGAGAGCTGATGGGCACTCGTGGATTCAATTAAGGTGGACTTCAGAGAACTACATGAAGTGGAGATGTGTCGTGGAAGTCCCGTGTCCCACTCACAACCTAAGGGTATACAACTACTACTAATAATTAATAGTGAAATAATAAGTAGAAATTAGTGGTGAGAAACAGAGAGACTAAATTCACTTCACAACATCCGATATCAGTGCATTTCATGTTACTGTGTGAAAATCGCATGTGAGATTCCCAACAGAAATCTGAGGATACAGTGAAACGTGCTTCTAATTGCCTGTGAACATGAAAGTGTATTGAAACTGTTCTCATACAGTGCATGTTGAATTTATTTTGTGATTAACACAGGATACTTCACTGCAGTACTCATTCACTTAAGTGCAGTAAATCTCTTACAAATAAGTAGATGAGAGAACTTGGTTACCTGATTACCACTGAAGTGTATTCTTGTATTTTTGCACTAAAATTGATGGTGAGTCGCGTCGCTTGTATTTAGTGAAATAGGAGTTTGCTCAGCTGCAAACGCGTTGGAGCCACGTGCTCCATCAGCGAGTATTGTACCAACGAACCACTGACACAATTAAACCAGTCATTATTCAACAGCTGATTGATCCTACTTTGAGACTCCTCACAATTACAGATACTCACTGGGTTCGAATCCAGATCCTTCCTACTCAGCCTATCCTCTTTCTCTGATTACTGCCAGCAAAGCAAGGTTAAGGAGCTCATCTGTCGGTTGTGAATCCAATCCAAACCGCCCCACTGGTTGACGTATATTCTGCCATTAAACTACCACAACGCATGTGAATATATCGGACCAACTGCATATCCAAAAGAAATGTTGCTTAGACGCACAATTCACCTTCAACAACGCGATTTAGGGATCAAACGTGTACAAGCTATACAGATTCTCTTCATTTTGATCACCGATATGACGTGATTAGCCAAAATGAAACCAATCTGATGAAGCGCTTGAAGTGGTCAAACCGAAACATAAAACCATCGACTGTTAGTTTGAATCACTTAACAAAGAAAAATTTGATGCGCATACCATTAGGGACTGACGGCATGATGTAGTCGTCTGAGTGTCTTCTTAGTAGTGGTAACCAGTGAGATTCAGCATGTAGGGCATCACGGGAAATAGTCACCGTTAAGTTGTACTAGACGCGGTGTTACCCATCACGAAATGGCAGTTGGTCCTTCTGAATTAGATTTGATTCTGGTATGATCAAGTATCAACATCGGTTGAAGAACGATTGAAAGCCACCAGGAAGTACTGTATAGCTGTTTTTACGTAATTTGATGTTCATCGGCTGCACGCGCATCCACCGGATTTTGAACCAAGGACATTCCGGCTACAATAGTAGCTTGTGAACCATTCAGCCAGTGAGACCCTACCCAATGGGTGTGTGCGTGTGTTACCATTAATTACAGAACCAGGAGGGGACAGTTGTTCAGATGGATTAGACATACACTGAGGAGACTATCCAGGGTGATCACATTTCACATTATCACATTTCACAGAAGAGGAGATGGGATCTAATGAGCGATCGTGGGGTCAGATCAAGATGACGGCAGAAAACAGTGTGAGTCAGGGGATGATTTTCAAGTCCCATGTACCACTCAGAACCTAAAGGAATAATCACAATAATTACATGGTAGAATATACATCACGTATGAAATGCGTGTATGGATAGTTGCATTGGTGAAAGGATGAATCAAAGTACTTTGAGATGCGTAGAGGTTTAGTGGTATACGTACTATTATGCTAATTAGGACAAATCCAGATTCACTGTAGACACACTCATTAATCCTTGTATATCAGTCACAAAAAGATTTTATGATGACAGTCGAGAATCACAGATGCCGCATTACACCATAAACAGTAAATTGCAGGTGTCGGTGATATCTGATGACGTTGCTGGTGTTGCTGGTCAGTTGACGCAGCTATTTGGCAATTAGACATCAACAACAAAACAAACTTGGACTTACCATTTTGATCAAGTTCCATTCCTGACACTTCTGCTCAACATTCTCTGGACAAAGATAGATTAAATGAAATGAATCAAACTGCAAGATAATTCGGTCAAACAGTCAACATGAAATTGGTGTTCTCCCGGTACACATATTATTGCTCATTCCAAACGATTGCATACAGTTGCAAGACAGGCTGACTATTCATCATGTCTAAGAAGTTACTCACTCATTTGTTGTACCTAATGTGAGAGTAGAATTTAGTCATTATGGTAGGATAATACATTCACATTGGATGAGTGTTTTCTCGTGTAGTTGTGTTCACTGAGCTTGATGATTTAGTTTAGAAGCTGTCATCGCCTTACTAGGCAACATCATCAGCCCCCCGAGAGTCATCTCAACCACTCACGATGGACTAACACAAAACACTGCTTCTGCATGATTCAAAATAATAAAGTGGGATTCGTGTTTAAAATGCAACATTTGTTCAAACATTTGTTTACCTCTTGATTGTACGAATTCCTTTTCTATAGTTTCCGCCAAGGCTATTTCGTCAATAAGTACACCTAATGAAGAGAAGACGTCGATTCTTATGAAAGTATCATTTTAGAATTGGTTCTTTTAGCTTGCAGAGCTTGTCTCTGAGTGATTTTGTAGATCTGAGTGGAGAAACCAAAATCTAACTTTGTGTAGAATCTGACTTACGTTTTCAGACGTTTCACCCAAATTCAAAAAAATCGTAGATGACCCAAATAAATTCTTTGTATGTCAGAGTTAACAATTTGAAATGGATCTCATTGGCTGCGGGATCTACGCAACCGGTTTGTAGGCCAAAGAGTCTGGCTGGGAGTCTCGATGGAAGCAAACCGTTTGAAAGATCGGAAATAGGAAATAAGTGCTGTTCGGTATTCCCAGTTTGTTACAAACGTGTTTCTGAATAAAGTCACCTCATGGTCAAAGGTCTTACCTATCTCAAGTCCTTCAACGTGAACAAAGAAATACACCTACGCTTCGCTTATTTCTGTTCATTCACTGGCATTCATGATTTCGGGATTCTCCTGCATATTCACAGTTTTATAGTACACACCTGTCAAAATACATCATGAATGTATCTCATAGTTCAGAAACACACAATGAAAACGAGTAGATTTACAATGTGTTCCATGAAATTTATTTCATGAGAGAGTATTTGATCAAAACTAAGAATTGTGAGTCGACAGTCACAACAGCCAAACACTCATTCAACTGAAAACACTTACTGACAATCTTTTAACATACAAAGTGCATTTCCTTCTCAAACAAATACTTGTCTAATTATTCTTCTCCACAGGTGCCTTGAGTATTTCAATAATGCTCCTACTACTATGTCGTGTGAATAGGAACTCTCAAGTTAGCTAAGAGATCTCTTATGTTCCTAACTTCCATTCGAACATGTCGACATTCCGGTTGACACGCGAGCGATGGCCTGACGAGTTGCTCGCTGCGTATTTCTCCTGGATTCATCGTTCGTTCAATGCTGGAATCCACGCCAAACATGCATGTGTTCCCGGTTTCCACTTCAGGCCGACGCACAACCTTGCCTCACTCACCTGATAATTATTATCAAGCAGAAACCGGAAAGCATCACCGTATGGCCAGGAATTCACTGTGGAGAAAACACAACAGTTATTGAAACTTCGAAGATTACACTTGACTTCGCATCTCTCACTCGAAGCACAAACGAATTGAATAAATAACTAACCGTAAGAATTCTTTCTGACCAGCTCAACTTCAACATGAAGCCAAAGTGTCGCTTTCGATCAATGTCTGCAGTAGTCTGTTGGAAATGCTTCCAGTGAAGCGCATTTCAAGTCACTCCACCATATAGAAGAACTGAGTCCATTTTGCTGTTCAAAATCGAAATTTTGTTCATCATGCTGCGTGAAGTAGATTTACGAACATATTTCAGTGATCTCCTTCAAATTCCTCTCACTGATAGTGATTGGTGTTGGATGTTGCTGTTTTTGGCTGATTGTTTGATACGTAAGTAGGTTGGTTGGTTTATTGCTTATCTTTATGATCTCCGTCTTCTCCGTATTCATTCGAATTCCTGTCTTCGCTTCGTACCACTTCCAACAAATCGTTAGTCGTGACCTGAAAATCTTCGAATTTTTGTGGCATTCAACGCTAATCTTCTACAATATCCAGATACTGTTGAGTCTTCTCATCGGTCCAACACATTCCTGCCTTCTTGCATTCTGCAGCCTGCTCAGTGATCCTTTCTAACACTATCAGAATCATCATCGTCGGTGGTAAGTGGCCATAATTCACTATTGTCTCTACTTCAGAGATATCTGACGAATTAACGAAATAAAAATCTTACCAAATAACTAATTGACCATCTCACTCACTTACCCTGAACTGTCTAACTTTGCAACTAAGTAAATGAACACGTATAACTCACCAACGTATCAGCTAACTAACTTGCTTGTTTGTGTACTTTCTGTGGGTACAGTACATTTGAACACATAACTACTCATGTGAATTATTCTCCTTTAATCGCAAATTAAATTTTCAGAAATCTGATATGTGGGAATTGTTTCAACGTAGTAACACTGGTATCCAGGTAATTACAAGCAATTCTTACTGTGTCCTCAAATTTCTGTTGTGAATTCCACATGAAATGTTCACGCAGTAACACGAAATACACTAATACTAGATGGTGAGAAGTGCATCCAATTTCCCCCCCCACACACACACTCGCTCTCTTTTTCTCACATTCATTGGCCACCTGTAGGGTATAAATAGTGCGGTGGTACTTTGTTTGCTGTTCAACTCAACATCTCTGCACACCAACAACATGATTAAGAAGCATTGCCTGGTACTTCCGTTGGCTTGGACGTTGTTTCAATGTGAGTGATTATCAGTAGTATCACGTAACTTTGTATTGTATGTATTGCACTAAATTTTTATATGATTCTAAAGTTCCGTGTTTGTTAAGTTGAAGATACTGCGATTTGTTACATCGAATTCATCTGAGACACAACCAGGTCGTTGTGCAACCTTCTGTGTTCTGTTTTGACATGGTTGGACGATGGCACAGTGGTTAGGACTCTCGCCAACCATGCACATGGTTCGGGGTTCGATCACCCTCCCGACGCACACCCGATATCTATGGTCGGCCTGCAAAATTTGGATTACCGATATTCATGCTGAAAATGCCATACTTGTACTGAAAATACGATGTGGCATCAAGCTGTCATCAAAGAAAATTTAAAATATTAATAAATAAAGATGACTGTTTTTAATAACACTGAATCATTGATGTCAACAGATTACAATTGGAAGTACATCTGTGAGAGATTGATGATAAAATGAACCTCGTATTTTTGACACTACCAATTGTGATTCTACGAATTAGGGACGAAATACATCTGCCTGTCAGTGTCTCATCTATCTCTTAACCTATCTATTTTTGTATCAATTGAGGTGCTTCTATTGAGCCAGTTATATTGGTCGTTGTTCTAGAACCGTAATTGTTCGTGCTTTGAAAATCCCACCAGTCTGGTTAAATGAATCTGAATTGAGAACAGTTCAATATGAGACCACCTCGTTCAAACGGGCCACAACTCTAACATTGAAGAGTCCTTTTTCTATCGTCTGTCGTGTGGCAACTAAATCGTCAAAAGACTCTTAGGACACAAAAGGCTTCGAACTAAATAGTTTACTTCAATTCGCTTAAATCAACCGTGGTTATGTGTGCTAAAGAAACAGCTTCAGCCACTGCTGCTTTGACTTGCTTGCTGTGTGACCTGTAAATTCAGTGATTCTGTATTGTTACCCTTCCTCATTTATCTGATATTCACTCCAGTGTTATACTGATGTATATTATCACTGACAGCTGCTGTTCAACTCTTATTCTTACGATTTCATTTTATTAGTAGTAATATTGTTAATGACAATAATTCTTCATTTATTATTATCGGTGAATATACACCTGTTGAACGTGGAGAAAAGGAAGTTATGGAAAAGAGACTGCTTTGTTCATTCTTCAGTATTTTAATTAGGCACTTGTAAATCAGAAATTTCATCCTCGTTCGTTTTGTTTCTTTCAACTTTGTTACAGTGTCCTACGTGCTGTGCAATAAATTATCTCCGGTACAAAACAGTAAGTCGTGCCCACAGTGTTGTGTAGACGACTTGAATTTCTTTTCGACTAGACTACGTTGCTGCTGTGCAGACTGCTTAATGACTAACTTTTTCGCAGGAATCGAAGTTGACGAATTATCATCCTCGTGTATAACTATGCAATCACATGTGTACACGTACAGAATGCTAATGAAACGAGTGGAGATGGGAGACTTGATAACCGAAGTTCACCATCTACAATAATGTTCGGCTAGGTCCTGGGAAACTAGATATCTCTGATGGTTTGGTGATTGAGTCAATGTTAAGCAGGTTGTCCAGTTTCCACTGAGTAAACTTAATCCAGATTTGAGGGATAAACACTTCCACCTCTGTAACCATTCACTTGAAGTGTTCTCTATTCAATTAGGTGTGTTTCAAGTGGCGTAGACATCAAGGAATAGAAGTCATTCTCTCACATTCGCTGATGTCACTTAGGCGATAATATCTGGTGTTCTCCACCACCAACGTCCAACTGATTTCTATATCAGAATATGTTACATAGAGATGACATAAACCAGCCTCACACAAGGCTACTTCATGAAACAGTGGGATGAGAGGAGATCTGACGAGCGAATGCATATGTATTCTGAGTTGAATATGCGACCTTAGTAGCACATTTTCACCCAACTTCTTTCTCCACAGTCACTGTCAAATGGTCCTTGGACTTCCAAAATTGTTCCAATTCCTCCTTACAGCAAATAGGAAAACCATGTTCTTGACAGTATTCATATTTGTCAACTGTAAATACTACCTTCAACTTCTTTTCTATCTTCTAGATGAATTGGCCACGCGAATCAAGCATTACGCTGAACTGTATGGCTATTACAAGACTGCTGAATGTAAGTGAGGTTAATTCTAGTATATTCAAGTGTTGGTTAGTAGTCGTTTGATTGATTTTCAGTTTGTTCTCCGATTGATATTAGTTGGAGAAGCATTGAGCAATCCATGTGTTGCTTGACACCTACTTTATACCCCTTCGACAATACTGATCCATTCACACTCCATCATCCGTGCAAAGACATAACTGAAGGCATACATGTTAATTGTAGAACCGAATGATAGTTCACCTATTGGTGCGGAATTCAACGGCTGGTCAATAAACTCTGTCTTCTGCCTAATTGCCACATATATAACTCAACCATTAGATTCTCGGTGGGTGTAGTCATGGGTGTTTACTACTAAACAGTCTCAAAACGAGATTGAAACATCCATCTGTGCTTTGTAATGCCTCTAAGACTGACATCATTCACTGCGTGATCAAACTTGAAGTGACTGTAATGCACACGGACGTTCAAATTTCATGCTGAATCGCCTTCTGTATCGTATGCACATAATTCTCACACCTCACTAACACCATTTTATTATGTATTCCGTTAAGTTCATGTAATTTTTACCGATCGAAACCAACTAAATTGTGATCTGAACGCAGTGAACCGACTGTTTAGCCATCCGAGTTTCCGTGGAGAGACGTCCAGCACGAAAACACTCCGAAGAGAGCAGTTCAAGAGGAGCACGGATAATCATTACAACGTTTGTTGAATGGTCCAAATAAGTGTGAATACTGTAGTTAGACGCATCAGGAGGGATTTTGTGAACAGGTCTTCTGCCACAGGGATTGTTTGTGAAATATTTGACTGTAATATTCTGTTTTACAGGCGTAGCATTATTGGCAGTCAGTACACCGGAAATCGATTGGAGTGTGACGGTTTTTAACTATGGTGAGATATTCAAGCTCATTTCAGTAACAATAATTATGGTCATAATAACAGTGATCCTTTATTCAAAAATAACTTACTAATATTTGTGTAATGACGCGAGAGATCGGAGAGCAAAATGCAGGATTTCTTACATTGAGAAATGTTCTGAGTTTGGCACTCGAGCAATTGTTCTAAGTTTGGTCACGGATTGATGTCAGGTAGTGAACCAGTGACAACGACCTGTAAGTACCAGGCAGTAGTTTCACCCCAGTTTGGTATTTTGTGGCTCATCCTGCAACTAAATTGCGCTGAAGTTTGAAGTTCAGTGGATGCGTACTGACAATGAGCGCCAATCTACGGTGAAGGCGCTGTTCAGTACTCGTGGCTGGTTTTCAATCTTTCTCTAACTGACGTCGATCTGTGAACAAGCTTGAGTCAAGTCACTGCGAACCTAGTCCTGAACATTTCTACTATAATTCACGGTGATTCTGTTGCAAGTTAACAGTAAAATATCGAAGTATTATTAACACTGTATTGACAGAAGATGGGGTTTATTTGTTGGTAGGAGTGTTTATTCATTTCATGAATGATCTACATCCACATGTGAATGGAGAACACTTAGTTCAGCGAAGAGGCTCTGGTTCGGCGAATTCACTTTCCTATTCAGCTGTATCAACGTCACAATTATATACAATTATTTTCTCACAAAAGAGGTCAGATAACAACAAAAGTGATTCGTTGTCAAAGTCACGGTTTTCAATATCATTCAGTGTTATAAGAGCAGCTAAATGAGAACATCTGAATTGCAGTAGGTAAACCCCTGGGACGGGAACTCGTCAAATCCTGATTAGAAAGCCGGGTCATTAACGTTCATGCACTAGAACCTGCATCAATCACCAGTCCATGTATTCTAGCTTGTATCAATTCTAGCTTGTACAACAGGATGAACGGAGACGGCGGGATTGATAACTGATGCGTTGTTTCCTATTTCTCATTGCCCTGTTGATTGATTCGAGCGAGATGTTCCAATTCTGTTTACATGTCAGCTCTCCTTCTCCGGATGCTTCGAAGATGCATTAGGACTCAGCTTGAAGAAATGTGTTGGATGGTGACGAGCAGTGGAGTGCAGGGTGCATATTTCGAGTTATTTGAGATTCGTTATCAGGATTCTGAACAATCAGAGATTGTCTCCAGAACTAAGTTATCCAGTTTATGATAATGTCTCATCATGTGTGTGATATAGATTTCTATGGAATTACATGTTCACACCACAGCCTGTCAATTTTACACATCTGCTGAGATTATTCTGATATTGGTGTTGAAAATGTTATTGTTTCTATCTTTCAGTTATACGCGACATCAAGAAGCAGATATATGTGAAACATGCCCTGGAGTATCTGAACAGTGAGTACTAGTGATGAATGTCAATGAATTGAAGTCATAATGCACAATTCAATAATGCTAATCACGTTTATCATGAGACCATAAAACCTACCAAATACCAATGGACTCTACTGAGTACCTGTAGAACACTTGCATCAACAAAGAGTAGGGCTTGTTAGCTACCTAGATCAAAGTTATCTCAACACTATCGAATGACCATTTTTCCCCTTCTGGTGGCGAGGTCATAAGCGATGTGACCAGTTTCACTCAGCTCAAACTACCCGATCTTTGGCTGGTTACTCCGGTGAGCTGGTAATAAATCACATCAAATTTGCATTCTACACAGTTTGAGTAGGTGAAATTTCACCTCTCAGTTTTCTTGCGAAACGGAAATTATTCACCAATCCACTAAATGTGAGTGTGTGATGTGCTTGATGTCATAAATCGTGATCAGTGAAGTCGGCCTGAATGCATGACAATACGTGCTTATTATTTCACTGAAATGAGTGGTGTCAAACATACCACAATGAATAATTTCCATTTCCAGAATGGAAATATGCGCGAATTATCACTTGGAACTTGTGTAAACTATGAGTTGATTTGCAAAATGCCTACTGTGAGGCTCAGTCAGTAGATATGTCTTCCACCGTGACAATTACATACACTTATCTGTCCAACTACACCTCATCTTTATCTTTTATCCAAATGACTCATGAATGATATTTCCATTTGATTACAGAACTGAAAATGGACTCTAATTGGAAGAACGTGAAGTATCTATCTGAGCCGTATGAAGATCATCCGAGTAAGATTTATTTTCAGAATAACCTCTTATAACATGACGGAGACTAGGCAACCTTGACATTTTACACTAACATAGGGAGACATTGACATGAGAAATCCTTGGAAAGAAATCGTTTGGAAACTGAGATTCTTTCACAGTCAAACTGCTTCCCCAGTTTGATTAACAAATGACTGATAGTTTTCTAAAACCATTGGAATGCATCTAGGAGAACTGAACAGCTGTTTTGTCGTAGTTTGTCATTGTTCTCAACAGTCCACGTCAATGAACGCACACATTAGTGATCGAAACCAACAGCCTCAGGTCACGAGGTGAGATCGTTGACAATCCAGTCATTGAGATGCCATTCAATCTCCTACTCATGAATGTACATAGCTTGAAGTGAAGCTCCTGTGTTCGATCTTTGGTGAATGAGTTAATCGGCTCGTACTAGAACAGTGACCTGCTTAGACACTGTGCTACCAAACAATCCTCCATCATATACTGCATCTTATTTTGCGTGTCTACTTGGTTTCAATCTATTAACCTATGAAAATGTGACCTCCAGTCTTATTGTTCACTCTCGCGAACATTTGAAGTCTTAGAAAAATTGAGGGTTTGCAAATTTTGAATTAACTCAGGGAAACGCATAGTTCTAAGTAGCAACGTGCATTGAAACATAGTCTACTGCACTAAATGATGATTCCTGGGATCATGAGTACAATCTGCCGTTCCCTGTCCAATGAAAGTAACTGTCTGCAGTTTCAAATGTCTTCTAATGCATATCACAAGACGAGGATCATAACTCTTCAAGACACCTAGTTTCATGATCTGTATGATGAAAATTAAGTCTGTCTCAATTGTTTCACACCACTCAGACAAGATCGGTGTAGCTCAGGAAATGGTGATGTTGGCGTTGCAACCCTTATCTATACTCAGTGGTGGTCTACATACAGTAACACTTTTGTTTCAGATTCTCAAATGATAAAATCAACTGCATTACTGTGACATGTCAACTGAAGCACCTATCTGTCTGAGTACAATTTCAACTGTATTTCGAACACTTATATTGAGCCTGGTTGTAGTCTCTGAGAACTAAGCTCATTTGCTGATGAATTCACTTCTTTCATTACCACCTCCCATGCCAACTGTTTTTCAGTAGTGACTGGAGATTTGAGTTCCTGTGACTGCACTTTGCCTTTATTATTAGTTCATGAAAATGTTGTTCCCGTGATTCTGGTGTGGTAGATGGCACTGCAGCTGGACTAAGTTGAGTATTGAATTCCTTGGAATAGGTGTTTCCTCCGATATTACTCAATCTCTACTTTGACAGTTTGATGATTCTTGTGTTCTACCCATGCTCTTTTATTTGTTCACCTCATTCTTGCCTGGGTTACATAAGAAAGACTTTGTTACATTTTGGAGGGTCGTATGCGCTGTTGTTATGCCCACTGAGATGTCATCAAACCCGATTGTTAATACTGTTGTAGGTAGACACGAGAACTCACACAAGAAGACAGCGAATATTATCTTGTCGGACTCTGAGCTGCCTCTCTATACACAACTCTACCATCCCACTTCGTCAGGTAGAACTAGAAGCAGCCATAGAAATCTCTATGCTCCGACGACTGACTATGAAAACCTGCAAAACTAAGCTTTGAAAATTATTCTTTGTACACAGACGTCTTGAGTTTCCCAATGGAACTGCCTCAACGATAAATTCTATTGTCACTTCCCTATGGCCTATCCAGAAATGTCCACACCTCTCATATATATTCATAGTCTGTGTCTCCACTTCAAAGTGATGCAATGCGAGATTTATACACACTTTGGAACGTGAACGTGTTAGATGCGGTTAGTGGGTAAATAATGTGTCTGCATTTATCTACTGCTCAGGTTTCTCCGAAACTTTTGAAGAATACCACCGTGAGTTTATTGATATATCCGATAAGTCTATACATGTATAGGAGTATGCGAATGAATGTATGTATCTATAAATACTTAGATAGATATTAAGATAGATAAATCGATGACAAATACATGCATACATACATAGATAGATAGATAAATAGATAGAGAATTTTTGCAAGGGCATACCTCATCCCGTACTTCCTGTTCTAATTTTTGTGTGTTTGTTATTTCCAGATCGTAATGCTGCAAAAGAAATTGCTTCCAAATTGCGGGACAAAAAATCGAAAATTGACCTGACTACAGGTAGCTTCTGATCTCCATGAGGAAGCATTTTCTATTATATATATACAGTGTAGTGGTAGATAAACCGGTTTTTGATTTCCCTCTCAACGTTATCACTGTTCAACACAATCATGGTATCTGGATAGTATCATGGAGATCCTGACTGTGAAGATATTCAACTTCCTGGCATTCCATACACATACTAAAAATAAGTCTATGTGGACTGCTGACTTCCACACATGCTATTCAACAGGTATCTGGATAAACAACTAGTGCTGCAGACGATGTAACTCCGTAAATTCTGAACACGATTCATATGCCCATGTCGAATCATCAATGCATCCAACTACTTCAGTGAATTTACTCAAAGTAGATTTCAATACAAATCAACATAGTGTACTCAACTCCTTTGTAAAGACGTTTAGAGAAATCGAATTCTCAGTCATCACCTATGAACTCTAAATTAATCCACTCATCCATTACAGCTAGGGCATGACCTGTCTCACATCATTAACAACATCCTCAACAATGCTCAGCCTAATTATCACAGTAAGTGTTATTTAAAAACACACTGTTGCACATCGTCTGTTCATATTGCGCCTCTGAATAAGTGAGATGTGAAGTGATTTGTTGAATGGTGACTAGCAGTAGAAACCAAGATGCACATTTCATGCAATTTGAGATTCTTCATTTAAGAATCGCATGCATTCTCCAGTTGGTGCTGGTGTTTCTACTGAGACTCGAAACCAGTACCGATCACTTCAAACACCAAAGTGTCATTCACTGTACCACTTGGGCCACGAGACAGAGCCGCCTCTTGTGCAATGGGCATCAGCTATGTCTTGTTTTGAGTGAATTTCGATTTTCCGGTTGACTGATTGGACTGAAATATTCAACCAATGGAGACTGCAGGCACACCCAAATGACGAGTTCTGAATAAGACGAGATATGCATCATGGATTCCATCGCTATTCCCCATCCACCGAATCACGTTAACTTAATCCACAATCAACAGGAAAATTGAAATCGACACAAAGTAGACATTTGATTACGCGTAAATAAGAATTCGTGTTTCTGTAGAAAATGCTGAGTCTCACACTGTATTCTAATAATGCTTTGCAGTCTTTAATAACTTCACGAAATCTCTTGACAATGCATGGGCGGCTAGAAAGGATCTGTATACAACAGCAGGTTAGTCGACAAAGCATCGCTCTTCTTGTTGTCGTTGTTTCAAAGATATTCAATGTAAATGATAACAGAATTTTCAGAGATTCTGTTCCCCTGTTTCGGTCTGTGCTTATTCATGATGCTGACAATAAGTGCGACAGTCATTAAGAATACACAGGTCGACAAAGAGATCTCCTCTTGGTACTTCTATTCACAGCTCTCTGGTTTATTGAGGGTTGGTGTATGCAGTGGTAAATAACAACACAAATCACCTGGTAGGAAAATCAATCAGAGTGTATGAGAAATAACAATGTATGAAGCAGCACTCAAAAGGGTTACGTGATTGCGCTGGTTGTCAAGTAATACGTTAAACGATGAGTAGACACTCGGAAATGGTTGAGTGGGAAACAAGAGAACTAAGAATTGAAAACACGCCAGAGAAATTGACTGACTACATAGAGTCTGGAAAGGACTACCACTCAATGCAGTTCATTGGCGATAACGTCTATCAGCCTATTTGAAAAGATGTAAGACAGTAACACATTTCAGCGGATCGACAACAGAAACAATTCAGCGAAGTCTTTCAAGTGAGAATAGGAGCAAGACAACACTGAGTAATGCGGTCGACGATATTTCTGATTGTGTTGAACTGGATGACTGGGCACACTGCGGAATGTGCGAAGACATCAATATATGGGATCGATGAGAAGACTCTGCAATATCTGGAATTTGTGGAGGATTAGAGATTAATGTCACAAAAATTTGAAGAACATCAAGCGATGATCAACGACTTGTCAGAAGTGGTAGGAAGTGAAAACAGGATCTCGAATGAACGCAGAGAAGACGGATATCATGAAGATAAGCTACTAACCAACCAACCAGTCAACAACAAACAACACCAGTCAGTATCAGTGGGAGGAATTTGAAAGAGATCACTGCCTTCACTTAGTCAGCCATAAATGCGGTTTCAACTACAAGCAGCGTCATGGATGACGATGTAAAAGACAGTGAGAATGAGAGGGGCGAAACAGACCTTCATGATTCTGAAGTCAGTTTGGAAATCTACTTCACTCATCATAATGAACATAATTTTGACTTCAGCAGCAATATTGACTCAGTTCTTCTAAATAGTTCGGCGATTTGACATGCGTTTCATGACAGCATCCCCAACAGACTGCTGCAGACTTTGATCAGGATGCGATTGTTTCGCTCCTTACAGAAGGTGAGTTGGATAGAAAGAATTTTTGTTGTTGCGTATTTTTTCGTTCGTTTGTGCTTCGAGTGGAAGATACGTTGTCAAACGCAATCTTTTAACTTTGAATGACTGTTGTGTTGTCTACATAGTGAGATATCTGGCTTCACAGTGATGCTTCCACTTTTTGCTGGCTGAAAATCAGCTGAGTGAGGCGAAGTTGTACTTCGACCGGAAGTTGAAACAGGGACCACATACACATTTGCCGTGGATTCCAGCATTCAACCACTGAATTAGCAGCAAGCAACTCTGAAAGCAAACTCATCAATAGCCTATTGTTCATTGAATATTCTGGAGTAAATGAGATGAGTGGGACACACGGTGAAGAGACCGTCGAATGAAATGACACGGCAGCCTATCAATGGAGTGTCAACCGGAATGTTGACATGTTTGAATGGAAGTTAGGAACACGAGAGATCTCTTCGCTAACTTTAGAGTTCCTGATCACAGGACATAGTAGTAGGAGCAGTACTTATATACTGAAGGCACCTGTGGAGAAGAATAATTAGCCAAGCATTTATTTGAGAAGGACATGCATTTTGTATGTCGGATGTCTGCAAGTGAACATTTTTTTCAGCTGAATGGTTGTTAGACCCTACTCTTCACAGGGTAATGATAATAGTAGTAGTATTTGTAGTAGTGACAGCATGAGTAGGTATATAAAATGGAGTTTTCAATCAGTGGGAAATACAGTCAATTTGTTGCTTGATATGAATGAGTTTTAACTCTACACTGGAACACCAATCCAATTAAGCCTAATTGCTCGAACCTACTCATGACATAAAACTGCACGACATACTTCGAAAATTTTGACCATTCATCTTTTTAGTGCCAAAAATCTCACTGACCTGGAAACAATCAACAATAGCGACTGTCGACTCACAATTATCAGTTTTCATCATATACTCTCCTATGAAATAAGTTTCACGAAACATATTCTAAGTCTACTCATTTTCATGGTGTGTTTTTTGAACTGTGAGATACATTCATGATGTTTTTTATTGACAGCTGTGAACTTTGCAACTGCAAACAAGCTGGAGAATCCGGAAACCATTAATGAAAGTGAGTTAACAGAAATAAGGGAAGTGAATATGTATTTGTTTGATAACATCGAAATTCTAGCGATTATTTAGAGGTATGATTTCAGCCTACACCAGTCAGGGAATCAGTGGGAGTAAGCAGGGTGTACTGGACAAACGTTGCCTCTCATTCCAGTACTCCTGAGCAGTACGCACCTAACGACTTTCCTTCCAAAGAGCTTTCAGTTACAAGACGTAGTTGCAGTTCTTTCCGCTACTGCGAACTGACCCAATGATCCGTGAATTCCAACTTCTATAAATAGTAGTAAAGAAAATAACTAATTTGTGATCTTTAGTGTGAGGTGTTTTATTTTCTCTTCCTACCTTGTGTTGATGGCTGTTTTTAAGTGAGATTACAGTGAATCCTTGTTTAGGGTGATATGTATTGTTACTCGAATGAATGACTGTAGTTCAGTTACCTGCAGTGATGACTAACAGGCAGTAGTGCTTGTGTGGAAGGGGAGTGAAGATCATAACCGAGACGCTTCCAGTCTGGTCAAATTTGACTTTAGTCTTCAAGCAACGAATATGTCTGATGTTTTCGAGGACACAGAAGAAAGACGTTTGTCAGATATGTACTGTGCTGAGTGCAAACAAATCCGAATTTATTCAGCTTTCTTAGTAGACTTCAAAGAAGATGTCGAAGGTAGATGGATGACTGAATGATTTCAGTTTTGAATAACCACCTGCATGAAAGATTTATATGAAGTAATAATGTATTCATCTACAGTGTGAGAAATGTGGAACTGTTGAAATTTATGCAAGGAAATTGCGCATATGACGTAGGATACCGGAAGAAGAGTATATATTATGCAATAAACTCTGCTGAGAGTTCCGTACGCTTTCTAAACACTGTCCTGAACAATGCTATTATTATTATTGGTAGTATTTTTACTTGACTCGGTGGGACCGACGAGTTATTCGAGTTTCACCAAAGAGATGATCTGTTATGTCATGTCACCCAACAGTCTAATCAGCCTGTGTCCGATCCATCTACACTTTCTTCTACATATTTGCTGAGTAATGAATTCTTGATTGGTTCGTTGAGAGAGTTTCTTTGTGCTTATCATTGCAGTCTGGTCATAGGGTCAGCAAACGCAGCTGTTGATAACATTCTTCATAGCGTGTTTGAAATTATTTTAAAGACACACCGAATCCCTCAGGACTACATAGAACTGTGCTACTATTATTGGTAGTATTTTTATTTGACTCGGTGGGACCTACGATGGTGTGATGTGCCATGTCAAACGACAGTCTAATCAGCTTCTGTCCGATCCACCTCCACTTTCTCTGACATATTTTCTGTTTGAAATGCTTCTGAAGACACACATCTTTTGATTTAATGTCGGACATGAATAATTTTCTTCGAAACGATGAGAAGATGCAACTAATACGTCGAATAACTGAAGTCATGAAATCAAAAGAAAAAGAGCAGAAACATCAGTGATAAGTATATCTCCACTTAAATTCATTAGGAAAATGTGTAAAGCTCAAAATATCAGTCCTAACATAAATAAGAAACGATTTAAGCAGTATACGGTTTTAACAAGGAAGGAAGAAACATTTGAAATTCTATGTAGGTTTCCGACAAAAGGCGGTATGAGAATGTGGCTGCCACTGAAATCTACAAAATCACTGAAAGACAAGCTCTGTACGCTGAAAGAGGCTGTTCACTCAATTAGAGGCGAGTAATTCCATGTGCACAAAGCACCTTATATTGACTTCAATGTCAGCTATACAGGTGCGGCCAGTGCAATCGGTCTCAGTCAGTCAGTCAGTCAGGAAGTCGAATCACACGCATTCAGTTCAATGGAGAATGACTGACCTGAGTAAAGGAGACGGTCTTAAGAGAATAAGTCATCAATCACAATGCATTCACTGGAAGTTAAACGATGACATATTTCGCTTATTTCATTGCAAACGTGTACTGAGTTCCTACAGAGTAAATGACACATATGTAAGTGTTTGTCTAATCTACATACACACACATACAATATTAACACCTAATGCCTACAAACACTCAATTTTACACATTCACTCAAACCCACAAACAATTAATTTCAAATTTCACCTAACAATATTCAAAAGACACTCTCATTCTAATTGACGTCTGCTCTTCATTAGGTGAACTTCTTGCCGAAGAAGACTTGCAGATATCTATGGAAAAGGAATTCGTGCAATCAAGAGGTAAACAAATGTTTGAACAAATGTTGCATTTCAAACACGAATCCCACTTTATTTTCTCGAAACATGCAGTAGCAATCATTTGGGCTAGTTCATCGTGAGTGGTTGAGAGGACTGTCGAGTGGCTGATGATGTTGTCTAGTAAGGCGATGACAGCTTCTCAACTAAACCATCAAGCTCAGTGAACACAACTACACGAGAAAACACTCATCCAACGTGGATGTATTATCCTACCATAATGACGAAATTCTACTCTCACATGAACTACAACACCAGAGTGAGTAATTTATCAGACACGATGAATAACCAGCCTCATTTGCACATGCTTCCCCTATCAAGTGTGTATGCGTGCGTTTGGAATGAACAATAATATGTGGACACGGAGAACACACATTTCACGTTGACTTTTTAGTCGGATTATCTTGCAGTTTGATTCATTTCATTTTATCTCTCCTTGTCCAGATAATGTTGAGCGGAAATGTTTTCAAATGTCAGGAATGCAACTAGATCGAAATGGTGAGTTCCAGTTTGTATGGTTGTTGATATCTAATTGCCAAATCGCTGCGTCGACTGACCAGCAACACCAGCAACCTCATCAGATATCACCGACACCTGCAATGAGATCAATTTACTGTTTATGGTTTAATGTGATATCTGTGATTCCTGATTGTCACCATGAAATGTTCTTGTGACTGATATGCAAGGGTGAATAAGAGTGTCTGCAGTGAATCTGGATTCGTCCTACTTAGCATAGTAGTACCTGTTCTGCTCAACTGACAACAACATTACGTCTTTTCACCAAAGCAACTATCCATACACGCATTTCATACGTGATGTATATTTTACCATGTAATTATTGTGATTTTTCTCTTAGGTTCCGAATGGAACCTAGGACTTGAAAATCATCTCTCGACTCACACTCATTTCTGCAATTGTCTTGAGCAGACTCCACGACTGATCATCACTTCCCATCTCAACTTCATTTGAATTCAAGCTGCACTCTCGCTTGTTTTGTGGTTGGGACGTTTTGTCAAGCATGTGAGATAACCATGGACAGTCTCCTCATTGTGTGTCTAATCAATCTGTAATTTTTTCTGAATGTTTGTTAGGTGACAGGTTCTTGGTTGATTTGTTGACAGAGTTCAAATTTACGAATGCTTTCTAGGAAGACATTTGATCTTCGGCATCTAGGCAGAGAAGGGCGCTGCTGGTAAACGTCTGCAGTCATTTCTTGCAAATGGTTTCAGTGATACAGCAAAGTTTCTGACCGGTTCAGAAGAAATGAATAACTGTGGTTGAAACGGATCTCTCTGTATAGATACGTGAAGGAATTGACCACATTCAATTTCTCCTACTGAAATAAATTGGTGCATGTTGTTGATCTTCTCTGGAAAACAATCCATTTTCAATTCTCTGACAATATGCAACTCATATCACTCTTTCTCAAAGCAGCTGTTCACCATCTACGGGATTTCACCAGTTCTCTAACTAATGACAAGCAGTGATGTAAACTAATCCCACTTCCGTTTATTCACTCAATATCACCTGCCCTCTAGATGAATATGAAACAAATGTCCTGTGTATCCACTTGCGTGAGAGGTTCAGCGGTAGAATTCTCGCCAACCAATCACGCGGTCCCAAGACCGACTCCCAACGGATGACTTTAAACTTACACCTCATCCTCTGTAATATCAATATTTCAAGTTCTCTGAGGCCATGTGCTTCACTCAGAGCTCAAGGCATGCAAAACAAATATATACTTGTCACCCATAACTTTTGAATGACCTGGCTTTCTTCAATCCTATGTGCCTGCTAATCACTTCTATCAATATCCTTATATTTTCTTCACAGCTGTCGATGAATTCCTGACGAAATCAAATTCGACAAATGAAAAAATATCTGAATTCAAAAATGCTGTTGGTAAGTGACAAATTTTGTGCTTGCAATGCTGTTTCCCTCTGCTGTGAAGCAATTTCAAATACTGATAACACTTTGCAAAATAAAACAAAGAAGGCCTGTGTGTATATCTGCAGGAGACGCGTAACTTCACCCACATAACACGTGTTGAAAAGCTGTTGCATCACACTTGGAGGGAAATTTCGCGAGGATGAGATTGTCATAGAATATTCAGGAGTTATTCTATAAGGATTCGATTTCCTTCAAGTTTGATCGTAGTTTGAGATCAGTAGGAGAACCATTGCAGACAATCAAGGAGCACTCATTAGCTGTTCCTCCTTATTTCGAGGTTGTTCGACAGTACGCTGACGCGCTTTCATCGATGATTGAGCCAAGGACCTGCAAGCTATGGGAACAAGCTTGTTCGGCATTCAACCAATAGAGGCCATACTCCACCGGCTCTTGAATTCCAGCAAGTAGTACTTCGTGATTTTATCGCATCCACCAGGCAATGTCGTAGGCGAGTATTTGTCGTCACATTCCGCATGGTGAACCCTGTTATTTGAGACTCGTCACTAGAACTCCAGTCAACTTCGTCTTGAGTCAGTCACTAGCAAGCGTCATAACCTGAATTTCCTCGGTTCCACCGACAACAGGTGAGTTCATGCATGTGTACTGTCCATAAATCGCAAACAAGGAATGGACAACTAGCTGGCCAGTACTTCCAGCTGCTCTTCAATTATTCTCTTACTGATATCAATCCGTGATCCAAACATGGAACCAATCGAATCCTTGCAAACTAAATCTTTGAAGTTAAGCCAGCTGGCTACGGCACAGTTGATCACAGTTATCATTTCTATTTCAATGGTTTATTCACGGCAGACGTATTCTTATCATATTGAGTCATGAAAAGTGTCACAAATGTGAACTATGTTTAATCAGTGTAAGGAGATGACAAAAGCGATGAAGATGCAAGTGAAGAAACAACGAATCAACAAGACAATCCAGGGTGGATCACAAAATCCTGCTGTACGCATCAATAAGGCACCTGTTGTTCGATCTCTGCTGCTTCTCTATGTCGTGGTAGCCAATTCTTACTGTCTTTCTGCCATTCGGAAGGCTACCACGCAGTCATTCACCAAATGAGAATAATTTTCGAGCATGTTCATAAATCCTCTTTGTATGTACCCTCACAGTTCTTCCCCTATATATTGTGCTGCAAGTACAGGTAAATGAATGAATGCAGTTTCAGGTTTCGTGAGGCACTCTCACATCCATATTCGTTTCCCTGAACGTGTTCTTCGTATTGTGGACTACTACTACCATCACTAATCTAATACTACAGCTACTTCTGATTTCGCAGTGGGACACGCTACAGCAATACATGTGTTCTGCGGTCGGCGAATATCTCGTAAACTCATTCTGTCGCCTTAACTGAATTGCAATCTGAAGAATGCATTCTTCTTTCGTAAAATTATTTCAATCGAATTCTCATTATTTCACTTGAAATATTCACTGATAAACCTAGCGGGGTATCCATTGCCGATGGCTACTTGGCGAATTCGACCCAATTATTCATCGGTCAACTCTTGAGAACACACGATCCAGGGGCCGGTGAGAAGAAGCATTGACTGGATTTCTTTTGTAGTGAAATAGGAGAGAAGTTGTCAAGTGTTGAATATTGACCTGTCCAAGTCGACGTCTGTTAAATCCCATTTGATTATACATAGCCGTCTGCATTTCTTAGTAAGACTCAGGTCTTAGGCATGTCCATTTCATTCTGTTTGCTAAAGTTGTCTTCATCTCACTCCATGATTCTCCATTAACCTCCGTTTACTCCACACACCATCTTCCCAATTTCACCTTCTGACGCACAACTCATCGCTCTACATTCGGGTTTCATTCGACGCCTGGCATGGCGCATAATTCCACTGAACTGTCTTTTCAGCGTGTGTCCGATTCATTTCTATTTCCCCTGTCTATTTGTTTGGCCACAGGTTCTTGATTGGATCGTTGCTAGAGTTTCCTCTCACTCATCCATTTTAACTATCTGATCATCAGTACGGAGTGAGAGAGAAGTCTGTAGTGGCCTGTTGGAAATGTTTTTCATAATACGTCAAGTCTCTCAACTGTCAAGAAGAACTGAACGAATCTTGTTCTTTGTGTTTAGTGCCGGAGATTTACAAAGTGATTTCGGAGTAATGCAGTTCTGCCTTTCGACTCCGAACCAGACCAGCATTCACATCTCCATCCGTGTCAACTAAGTGTAGCTGAAACGATGCTGACTGTCGAGATCAATGAAAGAAGCAAATTCCTTCAAATTTCCCCAACTGACAGTGATTGGTGTTTCCTGTTTGTCTTGTTGCTGGTAGTGGTGTTTGGTTGGTTATCTTCTTCACCGCTTTTATCTCTATGTTCATTTGAAAACTTGTCTTCGCTACATGCCTCTTCTACCAGCTTGTTGCATTTCGTCGGTGTGTGTCTGTGTCTGTGACAATTGTGTAAACTAAATTGAATAGCTTGAGTCGATTCTCTGCTTGATTTTCACTCTCACACATGTAATATACGTCTCACCAACATATGTTGAGTACATTTTCACTTTGGTTTCATCGTATCATTGAGATGTCTGAAAAGTATTCAAATCTGCCTCTCTCTCCCTCTATCCATCTCTATCTCTCACATCAACTTGAGCCACCTGACATGGTGGTTGCATTGCAGACTTGATTAATAAAATTCACTCTGTACAAGCAACACAGACCAGACGTAGTACAGTCATTTCTACCTAGTGCTCAACTAGAGGATCCATCGCAACATCAGAGGAGCTGGATGGCGAGCCAGTCAAGCTCAGTGGTAGCCTCTTTGACTGCAGGTAGCGTTGGGTGACCGGGAGTTCGAATCTCAGAAGAGAAACGAGTTGTTCCTTCAAGATTGCAGGTAGGTCATTGCTGAGTGATGAATATTTGACTCCAAAATAAGCAGGACACCAGAGTGTCAGGCAGAGCTTTCTGCATGCCAATCGCCTCCAACCGGAGCATGACATTTATTCGTATCATGACTCATATAATCCAGACACAAACACTGAAATGAGGAGGAGGAGAAATAGGCAGTATGCTATTTAAATACTCACCTGTTTCTACGAAGATATCTGCTCAATTAATATTTCTCCCTGACATTATTTCACATGTTTAGTTCAAATGATTTCTGAAGTTCAAAAGGTTGAGAAGTTCAGAATTGACAAGTATCCAAGTAAGTTCAAATTTCACTGATACAGTAATAAATACATTTATGTTTAGACGAGTCACCATCAGGTATTATCTTTACAGCTTACAATACAATGTTTCGAGAGGGTTCTCATAAATTTGTAAGTGATTTCGAGGCAAATTACATACTATTCATTTTGCTCGTATTGAGCTGTCTTGTAATTACTATTTCTATCATTACTATTATTAATATTATTTTACTACTATTGTCATTATTACTCACTCGTGTACTCCTTCAGTTCTGAGGCGAATATACAGCCTGAGATGTGTACTTCATTATTGGTCTCGGCTATCTCTCCCTCTGCAACCAATCTCGACTACTCTCGAAAACGACACTGACCACCACAAGCTTTCATTCCGTCTCCATCTAATCTTCTCGGCGTCAATCTAGGAAGCCAGCTCACCACGTCTCTTCCTATTGAGATTCCACTCGAGAGCTTGGCGTGTGTGATACTAGTCAGTCAGTCGACTTCTTGAAGTACATTTAATCTATCCCGATTCTCCTCGAAATATTTGTTGAGCGAACGTTACCCGCCTGTTAGTACGATGACACAGCGCCTCATTGCTGATTCTTTTCAGCCGACCATCTGATCTTCAATATGGTGCTAACAAAGACAGCCATTGATAAAATTCTGCGCTAGTATGTTGGAAGTGGTTTTGGTTGCACTTCAAATTCCTGAGGCATGCAGAGGAAGTGAATTAGCATTGATGTTTACGTTGAGTAGTACAGTAGATTTACAAACTAAACTTTGAGGAATGGAGTTCTATCACGCCTCTCCGATTCGGGTTTTGAAATCGTTATGCATCCATACTATAGTAAGAAGAATCGCGCTCCACCTAGTGAAAGAAACTATTTCTCTTGGATTACTCTCTCTGATAGCAGTCGTCAACTGTTGTCGTTAACCAGCTATCGTGAACCTTTCTATCTCCTTTTATTCAGCCTGATCTCCTGTTACTGATGCTGCTCTCAGTCTGCCGCTTTGGTATATATACATATCTGAGTTTGTCCGAAAATGAGGCATACATCTTCTTTGTGCGTCGGCGGCACAGTGGTTAGGATGCTCGCCATTCTTGCAACATGGTCCGATGTTCAATCCACGACCAACGCGCACCTGATATTAACGGTCCGCAAGCTTAATTTGGGCTACCGATTTCATATGCTGAAACTTCTTTACTTGTACTAAAATACTGTGTGGAATCAAACTATAATAATGAGCTCAAATCTTCCATCACTTCGATATTCGATGGTCTTATGATTACTCACAGTCTGTTGCACAGTCCAATCATCCCAACCAAGAAGATGGTCGGTGATAGCTCTTAGCCTTGTCTTACTACTATCAACACTTCAACGCTTGGATGGGCATTGAAATGAGAATTTCCTGGAATAGGGCTGATGACCTATAGTTGGATTCGTGAATGAAGTTTAAGTCTGTTTGCAGCATCACACTTTGAGGTGCTCAGCCAACTTTCAAATTACTTCGTAGTCGATGATCTTGATGGTCTTCTTCTTACAAGCTCGCCGTTCTATGCTGTGTTCGGTGACAATGAGTAGAGTTGTCATTTCATCTACGCATGGCTTTCCACATTCACGGTAGTGGCGTAAGCACTTCCACTAGGGCACCTATGTCCGTCGCCAGTGCTTCTCGAGTGCTACATCGGATTTCCAACGCCTTCGTATAACTTTCTGGTCTTCAAGTCCTTTGATTTTGTTAAACAATCAGTATTCACTGGCAGTTCTGTTGCATAGCCTGTCAAATTGCTGCAAGCAACACACATGCGAAAATTATCTTCCAACAATGCCGAAAGACATCTCCGCCTGATAAAACCTGTGACACTATTCAACAAAATAATAACCTGTGTCAGAAATACAAAACTTCATTAAAAATGTCTTCCGGTAGCTTTGCAGTCAAAAGACTACTCAGTTACAAAAAATTAACTGTCCAGTCAAAATTGCAAGTTACCTGAAAATCAGTGAGAATATTCACAGAAAGATGAGGCTTAATCGAAACAGAAACGATGATTAGAGATACAATTTGACAACCAGTCACGACAAATAAGGCTGGCTATCAAGAGATACAATTACAAGAGAATTCAAATAAGTTCATTTCATATTGAACATTGTCGTAAGGCGATTTTGTCTTGAAGGGAAACAGACAATTACATGCATCGAAAATTCGCGACGCATAGCGACAACACCAGCCAACGCAAGCTGTGACCATCTATCCCCATATCTGACTTGATGAACCACATTGGACAAGACTCCTCACCCACTAGAAATCTAGGCAATGCCATTCCAGAGTAAGTCAGTCACTGGTGTCAACGATGGATTAATAGTTTCTTAAATTTATAAAATTGAATAAAGTTCGTCCACAGATTGACACCAGTTAGAGAAACACTGAAAACCAGCTGGGAGTACTGAACAGTTGGTTGTTTCATGGTAGTGCGGGTAATCATTTGCAGGACATACCAGTTGCGGTCCCAAATATATACTTTCTGGTTACAAGTCAAGCTCGTGGACTATCACGCCTCATGAATTCTGACATCCAACACTTCAGGATGTTTTGTGCTGCCTCCAGTTGAAATAAATCAAATGGCCAATTCTTGAAACTTATTCTGATGCTTGATGGTGACTGGCTGCAGGACGACGTTGTCTGGAATTGTGATGAGAAGTTATGATGAATGAGGTGCACTCGGTTGGAAGTGAGAAGAGATACTCACCGATGAGATTGGCTGGCTGTCGTGAGAAAAATCACGAATTGGTAGAAGTGAGAAATCACAGACTGAATATTAAGTTGGGTCTGGTGTCTGAATGTTCAATCAGCTTCCCTTGTTTACCAAGGGGTAGAGTGTTTGCAACACAGTAGTGTGTGTGCTGATGATGAGTTCAAAATCAGAACAAAACACCTGGCTGTCCAGTACTCTCACCTGGTTTCCAGTGGTTCTGTAATTGATATCAATCCGTAGTCTAAATTGAAACAAGTCGAATGCGTGCAAATTGACTCTTTCAAATTGTGTCAATCCACAACTGTGTATAAATATCATTCCATCTTTATTAACAGGTAGGAAATAAACATGAAACACTGTGAACATGGACTGTTCATCAACTGACAAATTTTCATTCTTTGATGGTGGTGGTGGTGGTGGTGGTGTAATACTAATTCATATTAATAAACATTTTCTCTTTTTCAAAATCAGTTCTACCAACAACCAGTCGTTGTGTCTTTCATATGATCCACTTCTGTGCTTCAAGTTTAATATTTGAACACACACAAACAAGCACACGCTGGATCGATTGAAACCAACGTGTTACTGTGTGAACTCAGGAGACCGATCTTTGCCTTCCACCGTCTAGCTGACTTAAACTTCGTTCAGCCAGACACAGTAGAGAACTGTCCCGACACTCGTATAAACATAGTTAATTGTGATGAAATCTCAGGTACAACTGAACAGTGATAAAATATCGAAAAGCGGAAATACCTCAACAATCCTGCTAGGCAGTGATGCACATCTCATTCGTTATCAGTTGCAAACCGAGCACTGTACAACCGTAAGAAGCACCTGAGAATCCGAAAGAATATTGCCAGCAATGCAAGATCGAAAGTTGGTCAGCGACAGCCATGCACCAAACACTCCCAACAGACACTTTCAGACACACTCAAAATTCACAGGGCGAAACTTGATCTCATTCAAACGCAAAATCACTAGAAGAAGGAGAAATTGTCAATGTTATCACACAACGACAAAGAGATGCACTGAAATTACAGATCGAACAGTAAGAAAGACAACTACTGAGAATTTAGTCAACAGATGACACGCGGATGTCGAGACAGTGATACACAGTCTGAGAGAGAAACGGCTAATAATCACGAAGTTAGTAGGAATGTCTCAGTAAACAACAATATTGCAATAAATTCGGTAGAAGATGTGTTTCCCAAACAATCATCGCGTTACAATCACCACTATCAAACTCTAATATATCGCTCGCTCGTGAATGAATCCAGTTGAGTATGCCTGTGAAGCAATAAGTGAAGTCACTGAAAACTGACATTGATAAAATTGAAACAGGACATAGGCAAATGAAATGGCCTTCTCTATGGAAGGACTAGCTTCGTAGGGCAATATTCACAATACTTCAGTCTCGTAGTCATCCAATATAAAACCAAATTGATCTGATGCTTGGCAAATAAATAGAGGAGGATGTGTACAGATAATTCCTTGGAAAATACATCGAGATGCACACATAACGCGCGAGTCCGAATGAGTTATCCTAGTTAATATGTAATTAGGCACATGCTTATTGTCTACAGTTCAAAACGGAAATGTCTTTTCCTGAAGTCACAATTCAAAATGGGTCGTGGCTATTGAAGTCCTCCACCTCAGACTAACGAGAACCATGAAACGGACTTCTACTGCTGCTGCCACCCTCCATTCATCACTTTAAAACTGAGTGGTTATAGTCGCTGAGGTGGAGGATGAGCTAGCCAGTCGTCTAGGTCTAACACTTCTCTGTGCCATTGTAAGTGTAGCTGTTCCTGTAGAGAAAGCTTCGTAAAGGGCGAACAAATAGAGGCTGTGTAACAGACTCACCACGCAGCATCTTCTTCCGTTGCACAAAACAGGCCAAACAAAAAACGGAAGAAGCTCTATCTCATCTCATTTGATCTTTGATAATTATGACGATGATAGCAATCAATAAGAGGTCACTTCATTCACTTATCTAGGTAGCCAGCTTCCTTTCAACTACATGAGGTGTGGCGTGTACTACTGAAAACAGTTGTCGGTAGTATATGAAGAGACATTGTCGTGTATGAAAACATCAGACAGCAGGTGGATAGATTCGACGTCTATGCGAGGGAGAGAGAGCGAATGATTCAGAGTTCCGAAGTGACATGGGAGACGTGAAAGTAACACAAAGAAACACAATATAGAATTAAAGGCAGAAGTAGCCCAACACTGAAGAACTGAGCAAGTGTTGATTTGAAGATG